AATTAATATTGATGTTTCGTTTAATACAACTCATGACTATTGTTGAATTGCATGATCATTTTGGCATAAAAAATGCCATCTGTAGTAGCAGTATAGGTATATAAATCTGGCTCCAGTGGAAGTGGTCCACAATCCCCATAACCTATACTACTGATTTGATTGAGTGGCCACAGAATCCAGAAATTGAGCTGTAATCTGTGCCGCACGAAGGATACCCATACATAGCTGCACAAGTCTTGCCAAGGCTCTGGTTTTCATAAGTCTTTTGTACCTTTGAATTGCAGTTACCGTGGACTATGATCGAGTTTTATAGAAACATGTAGAATATTCTGTTTTGATGGAACTGTGTGAAAATTTCTAGTAGCTAGTTAGACTGTATGTAAGGGGACAAGAACGTGCCTCTCGTATCATAAAGTGTGAATACTACACTTATTCTCATTAGATACCATTTTTACAAAACGAATGTACTTGCTATCGTATCTGACCGAGAGAAAACGAGGTCAGATACCATAGAGAGTTCACGAGTTTCTTAAAAATGGTATCAAACGAGAATGAGTGTGGCATTTTATTTATTACCCACATTACATTTGTATTTATGTGTGAATACATTACAACTTTCTTTCATAAACAGACCAAACTGAAACTGGTTGCAAATCTGGTTGCGTATGAATATTGATAAATGCCCAAATATGGGCATTGTTGACATTTCTGTGCATACAGATTAACAACATGTTCCTGCTGCTGTGTGTGCAAACATGACAGCAACAACGCTCATGATCTTTTTTCAAGAATTTCTTCAACTTATGGTAATTCAAGCGCATATTTGTTAGTACGCAGGTCAACTGTAAGAAAACTTTAAAAGTCAATTAGCGCCGCGCTTTTAATCTCGGACCAACACTCAGTCATTCACATCGACTGGGTCCCGACTGTGCGATCAAAATGGCTCATTTTCCTTGATTTATCAGCTCAATTTTATATCCTGTCCGTACCATTTTGGAAGAGGGAAATCAGAGTGCACGCCAAAGACATTTATGTTAACTGTACAACCCTATACTGAGGACGTGAAAATCAACAAACTCAAGTCTGGTTACATGTCAGTGACAGCTTTGAACAAAAGGCAAGGTCACCATCAAAATAAGATAAGACAACCGTGATCTACTCACAGCATTTTATGCTACAGATCCATAGGGAATGTTATTGTTCACATTGTGGATGTTTTGGGCCACAAAAACAGAAGTCAGGCACACTTCCACGGAGCTTTCGAATGATTTGTATCGGAACTGTTCACTTTGAGTGATCTAGTTGTGCAGTCGTGTATGTTCATTCATAAACAAACGCTTTCGGAAGCAATGTCACAAAATATGCTTCGAATGGGGACACTGATGACACAATCGGAGCATCCAACATAAGTCTAGATATCTGTCCAGATAGTTTAAACTGACTTCATTTCACCACGCTTAACCTTTCACGTTAAATCAAATTGAAAGTCGCAAAAGTGCTCAGGTGCATCATGCTTGATATAGTGACCCTTGATTGAAGATCTATCGATAGTTGTACATTGCATATGGATACAGCTCAATTATATAATGTCCGTAGTAGCTCTATGCATACCTCATATAGAATGCAAAGCAAATTTGATGCGTGTGACGATCTTGTTTGGTTTGATAAAGAGTGTGTATATGTCTCTCGCTTTCATCAGATTCCTTCAGTTCTTCCTTGTAGTTGTAAAAGTGAATGACTTCTCATGATTTTTTTATAAATGAAAGAAGTAGTTCTGGTGTGACAGAGGTCACGGTTATCCAATCAAAACGAATAAAACGAGGTCAACTTTGTACGACACATGTGTGACATATGGATTTAGTATCTTCCCACCTGTATCTTCACCACATGGGCAGAGCTCCAGATAAGCTTTTGGTGTTGTGGGTATTTTACCCATGCATCTTAAAATCATTGGGTATCAGTAATTCTATCTGGTTATTCAAATTTCTGTTAACCACTAATTTTTACACATGTTGGTATTTAAGTTAAATATTTAAAAACACTATTCATCTAGTCCTGCAAACTGGTGTCGTGATGGTTCGAGAGCTTTATAGGACTCAAAAATATCACGATACTTCCACAAGAAAGTTTGATGGCAAATGATCATGATGTAACTGTCATCGTGGACTTTGGCAAGGTTGACGGAATGCCCGTTTATAATTTCAAAATAAGTTGCTGACTTGGTAATCAAATACGCAGGGTTACTTCACAATATTTTGATGATACGCACAAGTTTTATTTTTGTAGCGTATCTGTATTAAATGTTCGTTGCGTATTTGATACGCTTGGATTTTATTTTACTGCGTATTTCTGCATTTCTGATGCGTATTATACGCAGATACACAGCTTATCTGGAGCTCTGCATGTGTAATAAATTATTATCACTGACTTTTGCCATCACCACTGAATTTTAGAATTTGGTACTGACCACTGCCATCATATTATGTATTGCCATTGAATATTGTACTACCACTCTATTGTGTACTGCCATTGAATATTGTACAACCACTCTATTGTGTACTGCCATTGAATATTGTGCTGCCACTCTGTTGTGTACTGCCATTGAATATTGTACTACCACTCTAGTGTGTACTGCCATTGAATATTGTACTACCACTCTAGTGTGTACTGCCATTGAATATTGTACTACCACTCTAGTGTGTACTGCCATTGAATATTGTACTACCACTCTATTGTGTACTGCCATTGAATATTGTACTACCACTCTATTGTGTACTGCCATTGAATATTGTACTACCACTCTATTGTGTCCTGCCATTGAATATTGTACAACCACTCTATTGTGTACTGCCATTGAATATTGTGCTGCCACTCTGTTGTGTACTGCCATTGAATATTGTACTACCACTCTATTGTGTACTGCCATTGAATATTGTACTACCACTCTATTGTGTACTGCCATTGAATATTGTACTACCACTCTATTGTGTACTGCCATTGAATATTGTACTACCACTCTATTGTGTACTGCCATTGAATATTGTACTACCACTCTATTGTGTACTGCCATTGAATATTGTACTACCACTCTATTGTGTACTGCCATTGAATATTGTACTACCACTCTGTTGTGTACTGCCATTGAATATTGTACTACCACTCTGTTGTGTACTGCCATTGAATATTGTACTACCACTCTGTTGTGTACTGCCATTGAATATTGTACTACCACTCTATTGTGTACTGCCATTGAATATTGTACTACCACTCTATTGTGTACTGCCATTGAATATTGTACTACCACTCTATTGTGTACTGCCATTGAATATTGTACTACCACTCTATTATGTACTGCCATTGAATATTGTACTACCACTCTATTGTGTACTGCCATTGAATATTGTACTACCACTCTATTGTGTACTGCCATTGAATATTGTACTACCACTCTATTGTGTACTGCCATTGAATATTGTACTACCACTCTATTGTGTACTGCCATTGAATATTGTACTACCACTCTATTGTGTACCTCCATTGAATATTGTACTACCACTCTATTGTGTACTGCCATTGAATATTGTACTACCACTCTATTGTGTACTGCCATTGAATATTGTACTACCACTCTAGTGTGTACTGCCATTGAATATTGTACTACCACTCTAGTGTGTACTGCCATTGAATATTGTACTACCACTCTATTGTGTACTGCCATTGAATATTGTACTACCACTCTATTGTGTACTGCCATTGAATATTGTACTACCACTCTAGTGTGTACTGCCATTGAATATTGTACTACCACTCTATTGTGTACTGCCATTGAATATTGTACTACCACTCTAGTGTGTACTGCCATTGAATATTGTACTACCACTCTATTGTGTACTGCCATTGAATATTGTACTACCACTCTAGTGTGTACTGCCATTGAATATTGTACTACCACTCTAGTGTGTACTGCCATTGAATATTGTACTACCACTCTATTGTGTACTGCCATTGAATATTGTACTACCACTCTATTGTGTACTGCCATTGAATATTGTACTACCACTCTATTGTGTACTGCCATTGAATATTGTACTACCACTCTATTGTGTACTGCCATTGAATATTGTACTACCACTCTATCGTGTACTGCCATTGAATATTGTACTACCACTCTATTGTGTACTGCCATTGAATATTGTACTACCACTCTATCGTGTACTGCCATTGTAATTGCTGAGCAGTAGTAAGTGTTGACTTGTAAATCTACTTAATATGGTTATACAATTGTTAATTGTATACCATTTGTTGGTTGTTTGTTGGTTTCACACTAAGTACTTTTATGTATAGATATTTTCAATTTGGGAATCGACACGTAAGGATATATGGTGTGTTATCTTGATATAATCATCATTACCATTACGCATTTACTTGAAACAAATCTGATGCACGTGGGACGTGTGTTGAGACTTGGAAGTAGGATGTTTAGGTAAGCAGGGAAGTTAAGTTAGGCTCCACTGCCAATGTGCCATAAGCTGCCCAATATGTGGTTGACTTCATGCTAGCAGGATACTGAGAACATGGTGATCGGATTACAATTAGCAGATGCATGTCAGAGATAGTGTCAGAAAATCTGTAGCGTTTCCTATTCAGGTTATGTAGGTCCGTGGTTCTGAGTAGAAGAAGTATTAAGAAATATGAAACAAGTATCTAAATTTGTACAATATTTCCTATCTGTCTTTGGGGCTATATTGAAATCATATTTGAACGTTTTGAACAAATTGGGGCGACATCATTGGTTGGAACAAGCATGTGAAGTTTCAGCTTCATTGGTCCAGTGGTTTCTGAGAAGATTTTACTGACGCCCCTGTCAATTAGGCCATGACATTAGGCCGGAATATGTCTCAAAACTGAAGGCCAAAACTTACCCGTGATACAGTTCACCTGGTATTCTTCAGGTTGTGCTACAAATGAAAGATGTGCCTAAGTGTCATAAAATCACCTACTTGGCTTCTCTCTTCAGATCATCCGTCTGTCTGCGCCATGCCATGGAGGAGCACTGATCCCGCAGGGTGGCTAGCTGCTCCAGATTATTTTGGCCATGCTTCAGTTCATGCTTCAGCAGCTGCACATCTTCACTCTGATATAATTGGTTTACAAAACCATAAGTGACATTTTAGAAGCTGTATATAGTATCAATGCAGACAGGAATTGACATATGGATTTCTACTTCTCTACTCTTACAATGTGGAGTTTTGGTTAAATGTTTTTAGGCGATATATTACAGATGGCATTGTAGCAGTAACAACACTGTCATTCTCTTCAGACAATCAGTCATCCAAAACCAACCCCCAGTCATAGTGTGGGAATTCTCCAAGTAAAATATCGAGGTCCAAGACGAAATTGCCTCAGAGAATGAAGTCGTCCCTGGCTGTGCCAAATGTAAATTGAAATAAATGTCCTGGGCTTATAAGGACACACATTTTGCAGAAGACACACATGTGCAGCGAATAATTTGCAGCCAACTGACATGTGCTAATGAGTGAGTGAGTGAGTTGGGTTTAACGCCGCTTTTAACAGTATTCCAGTTATATCGCGGCGTGTCAACTTAATGTGGGAGGAAAGCCCGAAGTGACGCAGGTCTTAGACGTTTACCACCTAGGTGAAACCCACGAGCACAAGTAACAAGTACCTAAAAAGTAACAATGGACGTTATTCTCATGACGTATACATTGCAAGAGCATTCATGAAAATGCTAAGAAAAGATTATAACCACCCGTTCTAGCGTTTTTCTATAGTAAATACATGTTTGTGTCCGCCATGTTCATCTAGTGGAGGCCGCCAATGTGCAGTCAGTGCTTGGGTCAGTGTAATGCCAGTGCAGCATACCTAGAGAACCAGGCTGGTATGACATAAACACGAATGTAATGTTGTTGTTTCTAGTGTGACGTCATTCTGACCTCATGTCACAATAAGATTCAAATGAAGTCAACAATGCCGTCCGAATGACGGCCACAATACACTTTTGTCTCATGACGTGATATGACCCTAAGGCACCCTAGTACCCTCATCAGTACCATGAACAAAGATCGACTGAAAGATATACATACTTCCTGTCCTCTAACATGCACATTACAGGTGGATTAAACATCATAACTTATGTAGAAGCACTCTCTTCATGACTGACATGAAAAGATGAAGCCATAATTCTGAATACTGACCTCCCAAGCTTCAGGTTGATCCGGATCTACACCTTTCTCAGAGAAATAGTGGTATCTTCCAGTGGTGGTACGAGCTAATTCATACAAGAAGCGGTTTGCTTCAGTGTCATTACAGTTGAAGGAGATTGTGTGGATAGGCACTCTATGCTTCATCTGTACTTGAGCTAGTATGGACTTTGGTGGCTGCACATGTAGAAATGTTGGCAGGGATGAAAAACATTCAAATTGACATGTACACAAACAAATGTTATGCCTCGTTCAAACAGCGTGATCTTGACCTTTAATGTCATCCAATCATATGTCAGAAAAATTACTTGGGTAAATTGGAATGTATCACTAGTATAAAATCTCTAACATCTGTCATAAGCATGTGACTGAAACTGTGGCGGAGTAGGTCGAATAGTAAGAAGGTACAGCATGAAAGTTGTAACATCCAATAACTAATTCAAACCAGTTGGAATTGACTATTCTTCACATCCATCAAATAATAGTTATCATTTTTAATAATTCAATGAATACTAGCTCCATTACATAAGTGCCAAAAATCCTGTATTTAGGCAGTCATCACATCATAAAATCTTGAGATTTTCAACAGAAGTCTTCTTCACTGACAACTATCTATAACCAGTTGAAATACTACAAGTATTTCCCTATCATAACCTCTGCAGATGTGCAGAAAGGAAATCTTCACATTTTTCCAACATCAGCCGAATATCAATGCAGAATATTGGGAATGTGAATAGGATTACTCCTGATTGAATAGAGCTAATATTCTTTGAATTAGTAGCATTGATAACTATTATTTGATAATTCTTACAAAAACATAGCCTCTCTTGCATCAGTGCCAGAATGCATCCTGGGGATTGGTGGATTCTAGGGTTCTAGGAATCTAGTAATAAATACCCTGGATAGTTAACATTCAAATGAATTTAACCCAAACTCCCATCAAAATTGGGTCTTTTCCCCTTAATCCAGTTCTTATTAGGTACCTAAAAGTTGGGTGCTAATATTTGGTCACATAATCCTGAAATCACCTCAAAAGGCCTGCTTTTGGAACAATGCCAAGGACAAAAGCAAACATGAGGTAAATTTCCATAGCACTATCATGTTCTGACTAAAGGGGGTAGCTTAGCCAGAAAGAAAAGAGACGACTAGTACAATATACACAGATTCATACAACAATGTTGAGCATACATAGTCTTCCCAGGTACCTAGCATGTTCCTAGTTAGGAGAGAGCAAGTCTTTACTTTACAAGTTGATATGTATACAAGAAGCACTATGTGTCAAGTCCTCACATGGTGGTAGTGGCTGTTGCGTTGGTGCTTCTGAGCAGCTAGCATTAACTCTAGCTTTGCTAAGGGTAAGACTATCCTATTTTCTGTCTCTGGCCCAAGGCTTATATATCCAAGGTCATCTGACACGGATTAAGTCATAAATATTAACAACAGTATTAATTAGCTTTGCTAAGGGTAAGACTATCCTATTTTCTGTCTCTGGACCAAGGCTTATATATCCAAGGTCATCTGACACGGATTAAGTCATAAATATCAACAACAGTATTAATTAGCTTTGCTAAGGGTAAGACTATCCTATTTTCTGTCTCTGGACCAAGGCTTATATATCCAAGGTCATCTGACACGGATTAAGTCATAAATATCAACAACAGTATTAATTAGCTTTGCTAAGGGTAAGACTATCCTATTTTCCGTCTCTGGACCAAGGCTTATATATCCAAGGTCATCTGACACGGATTAAGTCATAAATATTAACAACAGTATTAATTAGCTTTGCTAAGGGTAAGACTATCCTATTTTCCGTCTCTGGACCAAGGCTTATATATCCAAGGTCATCTGACACGGATTAAGTCATAAATATCAACAACAGTATTAATTAGAAGTGACATTGTTGCACAGCTCATTCAGGATAGCTAACAGTCAATGCAGAACACAATTGGGATTAACAATTAATAGCAACTAAGTGATTCTAGACATTTTAATGTCATGGCTAAATCTGACAATGGCTGTCCCTAATCAGTTGCTATGACAGAACTACCATTATATACACCTGGTTAAAAGTATCGCACCACCAAGATTTTTCATAATCAGAAAAGAGATGGGTACGGAGAAGCTGGAAAGAGATGGGTAAGAACAAGCTGGAAAGAAATAGGTAAGGACAAGCTGGAAAGAGATGGGTACGGAGAAGCTGGAAAGAGATGGGTAAGGAGTGAGTGAGTATGGTTTTACGCCGCTTTTAGCAATATTCCAGCAATATCACGGCGGGGGACACCAGAAATGGGCTTCACACATTGTACCCATGTCGGGAATCGAACCCGGGTCTTCGGCGTGACGAGCGAACGCTTTAACCACTAGGCTACCCGACCGCCCCAGATGGGTAAGGACAAGCTGGAAAGAGATGGATAAGGACAAGCTGGATAGAAATGGGTACGGAGTAGCTGGAAAGAGATGGGTAAGGACAAGCTGGATAGAAATGGGTACATAGGAGCTGGAAAGAGTTGGGTAAGGACAAGCTGGAAAGAAATGGGTATGGAGTAGCTGGTAAGAGATGGGTAAGGACAAGCTGGAAAGAAATGGGTACGGAGTAGCTGGTAAGAGATTGGTAAGGACAAGCTGGAAAGAAATGGGTACAGAGTAGCTGGTAAGAGATGGGTAAGGACAAGCTGGAAAGAAATGGGTACGGACAAGCTGGAAAGAGATGGGTAAGAACAAGCTGGAAAGAGATGGGTATGGAGTAGCTGGTAAGAGATTGGTAAGGACAAGCTGGAAAGAAATGGGTACGGAGAAGCTGGAAAGAGATGGACAAGGACAAGCTGGAAAGAAATGGGTACAGAGTAGCTGGTAAGAGATGGGTAAGGACAAGCTGGAAAGAAATGGGTACAGAGTAGCTGGTAAGAGATGGGTAAGGACAAGCTGGAAAGAAATGGGTACGGACAAGCTGGAAAGAGATGGGTAAGGACAAGCTGGAAAGAGATGGGTATGGAGTAGCTGGTAAGAGATGGGTAAGGACAAGCTTGAAAGAAATGGGTACGGAGAAGCTGGAAAGAGATGGATAAGGACAAGCTGGAAAGAGATGGATAAGGACAAGCTGGAAAGAGATGGATAAGGACAAGCTGGAAAGAGATCATATGGGAAAGGAGATCGGTAAGGAGAGGCTGGAAAGAGACTGGTAATAAGAAGCTGGAAAGAGATGGGTAAGAAAAAGCTGGAAAGAGATGGGTAAGGAGAATCTGGAAAGAGAATCCAGGGAATCCAGCACCAGGCTCAGATACACTGGGAGCTTGTATTTGAGGCATGTGGTGAACTAGTCCAGATGAGGCGTGTCCCACACCTACGCTCAAAATAATTCCGACTGGAGAGACCACTCTGTTGCTACTATCCTCCCCAGTCGAGGGTGCTTAAATATATGATATCCTCCACCAGATTGAGCCAGATTGGCAACAACTGGATTAGGAAGATGGTGTTCTGATGAATCTTGGTCTTTTCCTGAAATACCAACATGAAGTCGTCGATATATATGCACAGTGATGCACTAGATGGATGATTTTGACAGATTTAGTCGTACAGCCCGTAACTGTCATAACTGTTAATCTTTTCGAGGTTGCATGATTAGAAAACACATTCCAATTGTCTCTTTGGTACGACACTCTCATTGGTCAGATGAAAGGTTGTTCTGACGTGACTTGTAATGTGATGTCTTCAGATTTTTGTTAAGTGGTAGCCAGAACTAAGATCTGATATTAATGATATTGATTGAAGATCATGCACATATCAGTGGTGTTTTCCTTTGGTACAATGAAAACAGGAGAATAGAAATCTTGTCTGTGATCCACTTCCACACTTGTCCAACAATATAGAACTGACAGCCTGCTGGCCTGGGAGATAAGATCTGGTCAATGATAGAAGTGTAGCTTTAATGGTTCCAAAACCACACCACATAGAAACCAGTGCTTCCAATTTTTCGGCAAATGGCACCAATCGTCCAATACTGGTCCTGGAGTTGAATTTGGTAGGTGAGCTTTGTTTGTTTGTTGTTGTTTAACGCCGCACTCAGCAATATTCCAGCTATATGACGGCGGTCTGTATAAATAATCGAGTCTGGACCAGACAATCCAGTGATTGATAACATGAGCATCGTTCTACGCAATTGGGATACGATGCCATGAATCAACCAAGTCAGTGACTTCCTTGGCCGTATTGTCAAAGCAATCACTGTTTGAGATCCCATGGAAGTGGTGGGCAATGGCTACATGTCCTTTCTTCCACTATCAATTTGGCCCACACAGCTGTCCCATCAACTCGGCAATGGGAATACACAAGAAGATCCCAGTGGTTGGTCAGGTTTGTCCATGGATCCGAAATGCAATGGCCATCCTTGACCCAATCCAGCTATGAAGTAACCTCCCATGGTTGAACCGAGGCCGTCTGTATATCATATCCTGAGTGAGGTGGATCCAAGTAACTGCATTAGATCTGAAACAACTAGCCATATTAATTGCTCCCCCAATGCGGCCACCCAGCCAGGGGACCCTTCTCAGCATACAGGGGCAGATTGTAGCCATCTCTGGCAAGTTCACGTCCAGGCACTTGTCTGACATGGCCAGCTTGCTCTCCTGCTGGTCTTTCAGAACCGCCTCTGGGAAACATGGATGTGTGGTGTCTGGACTCAGTACTCCCAGTAGGAAATGTGTGGGTCACCCAAGACCTTCCAACACTCACCAATGTACAGAGACCCCATTTTGTTCCACTCAACATGTTACCGTCAAAGAAACGAAACCCCAAAGGTAAACCGAACCTCTTCAGCTTCATCTTCAGCCCAAGGCAAGGGCCTTAACTAACTATAAAAGTCCAGTTTCAATCTCGCCAATCCATCCATCAGATCCCAGCCATCTTGGCAACTGTGTGGTAGTCAAAACACTCACATCGTGATCAGGTAGTGGTATATGTTAATAAAATACTTGTAAATTAATATTATTGTTTAAGAGCCACAGATGAATAGCCTACTGTTGTCATTGACTGACAGAATATTTTATAAGGCAAACACTCGATCAATCTGTAAAATGTAAACAGTGAATGAAATTATGTGTGAAGTCATTTATCTAGCTCTAAGATGGATCCAATCAAAATACATTGATAATGTAAAAAATATACATGTTTGATGAAATTGAATAATCTGTATCAATGGGGAATTATAGTTTACGTTCAATGCACATTAACTTCTTATTCCATTCTCTGGAAACAAGCGTTGATTAAAAACACTTCTCTGTTACTCTTCTGCCCTACTGTCAGCGATGTGACTGCTGTGACGACTGTGCGTGTTGTTGTAGTTCGGCGAAATGCAAAATTTAATGGATATGACCAAATGTGTTAGGTTGCCGATGCTGTTGGTTCCAATAGCGGCTGTGTGGTGATGTGAACTGATGTTAGATGATAGTTACTACATTTATATCGCATTTGAAACTATTCCTTCCCACTTACCCACGATATTGCTTACATTAATTTTGATATTGCTTCTTTTTATTCAAATAAATAGGAGGACCTGAGCCTAAATACAGGATTCTGGCACTGACGTAATGGAGGTTTTGTATTCGTAAGAGTAATGTCAGAATGTGTATGGAGAGATACCAGTATTTGATCTTGCTCTGACATGGTAAGTAATCTCACATGTTATTATGATTCAGATATGAACATTCCGCAAAAGACCCGGTTTACCTGATCCGGTCTGCCGTCTGTCAGTAGATACATCGCCTGTGTATCCAGATCATTCATGGCATGGGTGATGGCTGCATATGTATTAGTGGAGCCCCAGCAACTGAGCCCCTGCACCCAGGCCCAGGCACTTTGTAGGCTACGCTCATTGACCTCCACCAGACGATCTCGCCAATATAAGCATTTGCTGTTAAAGCTCACCAGATTCAATTTCTTTTTGTGTCTCAGTTGCTCCTAAAAAAGATAAAACATTTCAACAGGATATTTCATTCACTTGAAATTTCTTTGAATTTTTTTCAACTTTGAAATAGCTAACTTAGCTAAGACATTACCATGTTTTACTTCCTTTATATACTCTTTAAAAAAAGAAACTATACATTCATAAATTTGATAAATTTGGACTTGATAATTTTTATATGGTAGAAATGGTATTTCTTAAGTAATCATTAAATTTCTTTAATTTTTCGAGTAAACATGCAGATTGCCCAAAACGTTATGTTGAGAAGTCGCGACGGAGAAATTCGCCCAAACGCAGCTGCAATGCCATAAACATGAAGCATGCAATTTTTTTAACTGTTGTGACAATTCCTTTGTCAGCAAGGATTAAAAGGCCAGGACAAAGACTGCTGACACACACATCAGAAAATCAGAAAATGAGCCGTTAAAATGCCACGTCTATCAGAAGCACAACGCAAAAACGCCATTGGCAGACTGCATGAGGGTGATACACGTTTGGTGATACATTTGGTTTTATCATTTTTTATCAATAGATTAAAAATTTATTCACTAATTCCCGCAATGTTATTGAAAATAAATTTCTCTGACACACTTCAACAACGGGTCCTCATCGAACAGGTCAAACAGCAAAATAAAGAGTTTCAAGCAAATCTTTAACTTTATTATACAAAGGAATAAAATCAACAAAAATATATCTAAAAGTTGCCAAACTGACATATAACTTATTATTTCCATCTTTTCGTGCGATCGCGTGTAATGTAAGTCAGATGACATCTCAGCTTTTGTCGCCTCGATTTCTCGGCTCGGACACAATGTCTTTAATGCCAAATTATATGCATAAGAAATCTTTGTCACAGCTCGTAACCTGGCACTATGCATCCATAAAGTTCTGTATTTTTAATATAGATCGCGATTTCATGTTTTAAACATGATTAATAACATGATTTAACTCAAACCTTTTGTCAAAGTCTGAAAATTATCATACACAAGGACAGTACCGTTGCTGTAATTTGATTGGCTGCCTTAGGTCATATGCTTAAATTTGACCAATCACGAACCTTGTAGCAGATTACATCGGTGAAACAATATAAGTTTTTTTAATGTATACTGTCATGGCAGCCTTTTACGTATGTGTTATTCATACGAAGCTTCGAAAACGGAGGTATTTCCTCATGTTAGTGAGCGGACAGCCACTGTCATTGGGAAATAGGTGATGACAGATATTATTTGCAATTCTTTTTAAAATAATGTTCTGACTATGTAAACAAATGAAAATAAAAAAGAAATAGGTAAGTGGATCTTATGAAATCTTATATTTGCCGAAAATCATTAAATTTTCATTTCTTTTTCAACTGGACGTTATGAATGTTTTAGCTTACATTATTTTTATTTAAAACGAACTTTACTAAGTTGTTAATGGATTATTTAAATAATGTAATAACTTTCATATTAATAAACAATAGGATTAATTGGACCTTTCAAATAGTGTATGGCCAAACTGTAGTAGCAAAGATGTTTTACAAGCAGATAATTTCCTTGGAAAATGTTGGCTTCATCTATCACACAAGAGTCTCTGGGAACTTGGTGTCACAGCAGTAGTTTTATGGTTGGCTGGTGTTGAAAGAGTTAAACGTCGCCCATGCTGCCAAAATAGCAGCGTCTTTCATGCATTTCCACCCTTGACAAAAATATTGTTATATTGCCATTTGTAAACAAGCCAGGGATATGAGTACCAGGGATATGATAAAGTGTTCTTAAAAAATTAAATTTGTTTTAGAATATTTTCTTAATACCTACCTAACTTTTGAGGACAAAATTCAATCAAAAAAAATCTCAGAGGCTTTTTTTTTAAAATTGTCCTACCTCACTTTTGAAATAAGTTTGAAATCTGTAAACCAAGAAAAAAAATGTTGCCCTACGAATCTTTATATTGCCAATAAATGTCAATAGTGTACACAACGCCAAAAAGGAGGTAATCGTCGCTGCATGGTCACATGTCATGTTTTCAGATGAGTACCGATTCACTTTGCAGTTCCTTGATAGGTGTGGTCATGTCTGGCGACATCAAAAATGAATAAACGATGTTATATGATGTTTTATAAAGATGATGATTGTGGAAAATATAACTGATAAATGATAAATGATAAAAACTATCTCATAATTTCTTAGATTTAAATACATAAGGCTCTATTTGTATAGAAACTTCAGATGGTTGAATGGGCGATCTTTTTGTTCCAAAGGGCAATAACTCTCCTTTTGAAATGATATAAGCGACGGTCCACCCTGTCGCTTCCGGTCTGGTTCCCGGATCAATGCGCGCTGCGACAACTAGAGACATGTAGAGACGGAGCCAAGCAGAAGACTTACCCTGTTGCACCTTCGTTCAAAAACGGTCGTTTATAACTGAATTTTTTTAACTAGAAGATATTTTGGAGTGATTATTAGTTTATAATATCAACATTTGTTGAGTCTTCAACTACAAGACAAATTGTCACTATGGAAAATAGCGGGAAAAACGTCATGAAAAACAGTATATTGCCACGGTATTTTCTACGTCAGAAAACAGCGAGGCATTCTGTCAGTCTGGGCTAACATATTGCATCGATGAAATAATGCAGACTCATTTTATTTATCAGCCTTTGTGTTATTTCCCACCACAATTCGAAGCATTCAAATCTCAACAAGTACCACCATTGACTTCAATTTAATAAAATTAGTGATACGCCTACATTTGCAGCACACAGGCATCTTTGACAGGCCTTTACCAATGATCTATATAGTAAGTATACATCCGTGCCTTAACAAATATTTAAAGAAGAAATAACGTCCAAAATAATAAAACAACTGATTTTAAATGTTACTTTTTATATCAAAATTAAAGTTGCATCTGAATATTTAAATTTATATTATTTTTTTAGAAATATGCCAAATAAAAGTCTACCATGCATCTATTAAGCACTCAGTTACTCTGACAGTTGCAATATACATATTAGTCATCATACTTTGAAATAAGAGATTTACCCATATTATTCTGCCCCTTATAACATGTGTCCCACCATTAAGTGCTCTGAGTCATCATCATAGGTGTTAATTAATTTATTGATCCATCATTTCTTACAGAATTCTGATACTCATGCTCTTAAAATAGTAGTAAATTACAGAGATTTGTCCCAACAAACAACACATCATACTGACTACCCCACAAAATGTGTATGATACATAAATAGATGTAAATCATAGTTTTATCTTCTTGTTTTAGTAACATTATATTTATTTAAATGTTGACAAATTATTTCCCATACAAACCCACACACTATCCTGCTGTAGCTATGTATCCTGATTTTCATTCAAAATTACTTCAAGATACCTGTATATAAAGTATATTTTGTAGATATTATTATCATATAGAAAATATGAATTAAGAAAGTTTTTCATCAAATCTTCTGATTGTTAAATAAATGCAAATTGAACCCCACAATCATTCCATGTAGATAAATGGATTTATTTATGTTATTTGTTTTTGCATATAACAGATTATACTTACATATGTTAAAGTCAGTGTCTATAATCAGGCCCAATATGTATATTGACTGAAAATCTCAGTCAATATGTATATTGACTGATTCACTCAGGCAAGGTTTATTTTTCTTAAATTTTCATTCATTTATTATTGCCTGAAAAATAGGACTGGATTTTAGACAGACTGACTGAAATGAACTAGACTGCATAATTTAATCTCCTCGTTTTAATTTGGATCTATTTTGATCTTATGAAGTTTAAAGTAACTTATGTAAGAAATTAAAAATGTTTTCACAATAACATTGATTGATTCTCCAAACATGAAAGAATACCAGAGTCATTTTTTTATGTTACTTATCTTTACTGGGATAATATTCAGTTCAGAAACAGATGACTGCTAAAAAGTCATGCACCTGTAATCAAATACTAGAACATATGCACAAGTATGCCAAGATATTAAATAAAATAATAAGTGTCATTGTGCAATGCAGATATCTGTTGGTGTGAAGAGAAAAAAGAATAACATTAATAATTTGTTTATGTTGGAATTTGAAACATCAGTTTAGAACAAGGAAACATAAAAAGCAAGGACTAATTAAGTTAAGAATGAGCTTTATCTGTGTTACAATCATATGATTATTGTCAATTCAAACTGGATGTAGACACTGCAATGTTACTACAATCAACATTATAGAGATTGAAAATTAGTATGAATATGTTGATTTATTTCATAAAAATTGTAGTTGGTAAGAATACTCTTGAATATGTATTTTAACTAATATATAGGGTCCTCAGTGTCTGAAAATTTATTTTTTTCTATTTTGTAAAATTTAAAAAAGGGAAAAATAATATATATCTTTCATTGATCATATTGAAATATAATCATTGTAGTATTTGGCAACAAACAGCCTCCATTCATACATGAAATCCTTTTATACAACATGCATCAATTAACCCTTAAATATCAGATTTTCAATGATTTCCATTTCCTTTATCTTAACATTGTATTTTGATATCGCATTGATGACATAATTTTACAGTGCCCGTTTCTCTTACAATCTCTTGAAAACATTTCTCATTGCTGTCAGTTATAGATCAGACAAATACTTACATGTGTTGCTGTCAATATTCACAACACTGAGGCAACAGGCAACTTCACATTTCGCGTACCGCTGTACAAACTGAAATGCATGCGTATGATGTAGCCTGCTCGGCGATACTACAACGTAGATATAGGAACGTATACAAAATCTGCTTAATTTTTAAAAGTGTGATATTCATACATCAAGGGCAACACTTTCAGTACCGATTGCAAAACGTCAACAAAGCGACCTGGAATGAACGATCAGCTGATCTCACCGCATCGCATGGAACGCCTATCTAGTGGTTAACTTACAATATATTCAGTCGTGGTCATCCCTGATGTATCATTAAACCAAGGAACATTTATTTCCGGGCATGACAATAGATAAATCATTGTTTAGGCGAAAAGATATGCTGTCCACACACAAGCGTGACCGTTGCCTATAGAAGTGAAGGTTATACTAGTTAACTGTCTATAGGCGTCATAGTAACATGTAGTGCTCGTATTGCGCATACCACATGCGCCGTCAGTTTTAGGTTGGACCGTCCGGGTCAGCGCACCTAGCGGGTTAGTGAAGGGAAGATAAATTGAAAAAGATCGCCCATTGTCACAGAGATTAAAGGATACATTTATTACAGATTGGAATTCAGTCCTAGATAATTAATCAAACTAGGTATTACAGAAGTTAAGAACTGTAGTTTGAACCTGAGCTGCTGCAGGTTATCTTCAATCCATTACAATTAAAGGGGCTTCTTCTCAGCTATCTAACACTGCCCACTATAGCTCACTAGATGCCGTGAGTCGATTTGCCCGCTAACGCAACTGGGCTACCGTCTGCAAGGACAGTTAAATAAACTTGGAGGCATTATTTGTTTTACGCATTTTTTAACACTGATTGGTTACCCATGATCTATGAAGACAAAGGGCACATGTTAATTAATTTCTTCAGCCTAAACAAACAGACAAAAAGAACGGTGGAAGTTCATCAGATGTTGATATTTGTAAATACCCCTGATGTTTATAGTTTAATTATTAAAAACATAGTATCCCTGCAGTGAAACATTATTAGATTTTTGTTTGCACGGATAATACTATTGCTATCTCTTTTTGTCATCCATGTTTCCTGGTATAACCCTTCACCTGTATATTAGTTGTCATTCACTTGTAGCTCAGTTAATAAATTTATTACAGGTATAATTAGCGGTAGCACCACTCAGATTACCTGACAAAGGTTCCCATTTGGCACATCTTGTGTCTGGGGTAATTATTTAATCTGGATCCAGGTTTGAAGTGAGGTGAAATGTATGTTATGCAATATGCACGTGGCAGTGCAGCAAGAGGAGTGATCAGTTGATTTACTTTTTTCGTAAATACGCAGATTGATTAATCACTGTTATCTTGCACAGTGGATATGTCAAAAGTGTTTATATGTGTAGGTTTACTAAAGCAGACTGAATACACATATCTGGGCGCGTAGTGCCGATGTAAGAACACCATACTTTTTTCAAAGGATTAACCAATAATATGTTGAGTAATTGCTCATTGTTATCTAACTCGATGGATTTTTTTAAGAACTGTGGACATTATGAAAATAGTTGTAACGTGGGCTTTCTCAGCTGACCATTGAGACATATAACACCTATGTGAAACATCCTGAAACAAACTCAGTTTATCAGTTGAGAAACAAACACGGGTCATAATATCCAGAAACACTTTATATATATTAAATTGTTACAGAGACACGTGACATCGAATAAGTTTCTTGGTACAGCTGCAGACATATGAGATATTGTTCCTTTATGTGGATATTCACGGATACATTCCTCATACAAGGTAGCTGCCTAAATTCATACATTTAACTTTGGTAGGTTGTAATTATGATATTTGCATTTTGTTTTCATTCATTTGCTGTTTCATTGAATAGAGTCATTCTTGGTCCTCTACGTTATCATTGGTAAAGTTCTTCGATGCGAGAGACGTTGTTTTCACAAGCCTTTTTGTTTCTAGGCATGTATATGTTACAGTCAATGTGTAAAATGTCATTCACTCAAGCAATTTCTAAAATGTCTAAATATTTCAGCAATTTACAATTTGACTGAAACATATGTCCATTTATTGACATTATTGTCCAACAGATTGACTAACATTTATTAAGAGTCTCCAAACGGTTTAAAACATCACAATAGACTAATAATGCTAGGATTAGAAGCCAAAAATATAGAAATGTACTTTAATCTCATTAAAATCAGATCTTAGTTTTAGCTACCACTAAACAAAGATCTGAGAACACCCAATTACGGGTTACGTCGACATTAGCCAATCAGAAGGCAGCTTTCTCTTGCTTTACAGAACTAATTTCAAATTGGCGACCAGGTTTCGAAACATATTTTGACAAATTCTCGATTACAAATTTGAAACTTTAACAAAAGAACATTCTGAAATGGCTAATAGATGGTCTAGATTGTGTGGATTCAGTCGTTAAGTCCGTAACTATCATTTCGGAATACCCCTTGTTAAAGTTTTCGAGGTTGCATGATTAGAAATCACATTCCGACTGTCACTTTCATGATCTGGTAAGCGATGCTCTGATTGGTCAGATGAAAGGTCGTTCTGATGTGACCCCCAATGGGATGTCCTCAGATCTTTGTTTAGCTGTAGCGAGAACTAGGATCTGATTTTAAAGAGATTGAATGTACTTCGAATTTCGTTTTCTAATAATCCTATCATTTTCAGTCTCTTGGTGATAAAATTAAAACATAGAAATGTTTGGAATTCGTTATCATAACATAAATGGACAGATTTTTCAGTCAATTTGTAAAATAACTGAATATTTAGGCATTTAATAATTGCCTTTGTGAAAATTTTACACATTTTGACTATAAAATATACACACGATAAAATAAGCAATGCTCAGGTGAAATATTTACTTTGTGTTGCAAGTCAAAATAGTGTAATACCAAGCAAATGACATTTCAAAACTTCGTCACCATTACGATGCTACACACAAAGCTAACTATATTTCCTTATGATTTCCAATACTGTATTTCATTTTGTTGATACGCCCTTTTACTATCAATAAGAGCGACAAATGCGCTTACGAATGGTGCAGCATAGGTCGCGAACTAGATTTCTGCTATATCATCCAGGTACTCACGGGGGAAAAAACAATAACAAAGGCATCAACCAGTCCCTGGTAATTGCTGTAGATCAGTGCCCCTTTAAACTCTTTGGGTATACTGTATTACACTTTAGATGTGGTATGTTACCACTGGAAATTGTAAGGGGAAGGCATTTGGGCTTGCAAAGAACTGAAAGAATCTGTCAACTATGTAATAATAGTGAAATTAACTGGTACATTTATTGATTGAATGATCTAGATTGTCTTCTATCAGAAACAAGTACATATCCTAATCAATATAACTTTATCCTGTTGATGGCTTCTGATAATAATGATTTAATTAGGTGATAAACATACTGTGTTTTCACTGTAACAAGGTAACAAATGGATTTAACCACGCAGCATGCTTTTACATCCCGCTACATCACTCAACACATGACAGGCATTGGGAACATGCAGCATAGCAACTTCGAAACTAACATGAGGTTCATCGTAATGATGACGTCATATTGCTCACTGTGATGCAAAAGACATCACAGTCATATGTAGGAAAGCGCCTATTTCCAAGCTCTTTCTGCAGATTTCTATCCTGTTTTTTGGCACAAAATATATTTGACACAACCTTGTAGTAACTGCAACTTTGCATTTTGTAAGTTATACTTGTACATATAATTATTTAAATATGCCTAACAAACTATTCTATTAATATTAGCTTCCGCAGTGATGTGGCCGTCAAATTGATTGTTTCAATCAGAGGGGGTAAGAATGTATAACCTAGCCATGTATATCTACACTGCATTCAACCATGGAATGTCACTGTTATAACAAATGTATGAGACTGAAGTACGTGGTGTGTGGGAAGTGAAAGTAAAGCAATAACCTGCTGTCACTTGTTGTCCTTTGCCTGAGGAATATATATTTTGTTTGTATTTTGTCATGAGTCGGAGGACTACATCAATAAGCTTGAATGATTGAGACGTTGACAATCAATCTGATATTTTAAAGTCTCAGTGTCAGTGTCAGTGTAATGAGCTATGAGATATGTAAGTGTTTAGATTTTGCTTTCACAAATTAGGGTACATCACTGACATAAGAGTAGGTACAGTGACATATCACCATGATTCATAAATCTTGGTTCAAATCCTTTTGCTACGCACCATTACAAGTTTCATTCGAATATTTCTTTCTTTCTGGTCTTTTACCCACCTGCATCAGCATGAATAGCTTCTCCTGCACAAAATGCATACTATTCTGCATGGATGCTGAGCAGTCCAACAGAATGTAGATGTTATCCTCCAGAACAGTACCAAACAGCTCCCTGCTCCCTTGTTTCAGCCAGTCAATTCTGGAAAAATAACAAAAGCTATATATTTACGACTTTTCTTGAGTATAACTATGCAAACATGTACAATAAACACTTCCCGCTTTGAAGTGCAGTTAAGTTGGATAAGGGTATTTAGTTAATAATACACCACAAAACTTTCATAGTCTGACGAATCACATCTTGGCTGAAGTCAGCATGAGAAAAGAAAGTGTCTAAACATGATTGGGTTAGTGAGTATGGTTTTACGCTGCTTATAGCAATATTCCAGCAATATCATGGCGGGGGACACCAGAAATAGGATTCTCACATTATCCCATGTGGGGAATCGAACCCTGGTCTTCGGTGTGACAAGCTAACACTTTATCAACTAGGCTACCTCCCCCCCCCTCCACTTCTGTAAACATGAACCTTATTGTATACAGTAGAACAAGGATATAACGAACACGGATACAGCGAACATACGGATACAACAACCTGTTAAAAAATCCCTGATTAACTCCTATATATTATCATATAAAAATTTACGCACATAACAAACTCTCTACAGCGAACTAACATATATAGTGAACTGATATCTGATCCCCAACAAGCCCAAATACCACTAATTAGTGACGTGTATAGGAAACTGAGAAATATTACTCCATGTCAAGTGTCACTGACAACTGGCTGTACCTAATCAGCGGCGAATCACCACAATAACTGGTGACGATTCAACTTGTTAAACTTGCATTATGTTAATCTTACCTGTCCATCTGACTAATCTTGTCTGTTAAACTAACATTGTTAATACAAGTCAACGGGAGGAAATGTATATAAATGTGTTTGTGTCTTGTGTTTTGTTTTAGCCAAGATTGCGGACAGTTCCGAGTGAAAACGTATATAACGAACAACGTATATAACGAACTGATTTTTCCGGTCCCTTGTAGTTTGTTATATCCATGTTCTACTGTATTATACTGCATGAATTCAACCTGGATATAACTTGCTTTGATACTTAGCTCTAGGATGAGACACTAACCAGCGACTTCAAGGGGATGGCAATCAAATACTTTATTACCCAAACACGCGCACAGCAACATCGGTTGGTAGCTGGAAGCGATGCATATAGCATTACCTTTACAACTGATAATAACAATAACATAACAGGCCTCAATTGGCTTAACTTCTTTTCTTCTTCTCTGAGAATGAAAACAAATCCTTTATGTAAGATTAGTAACAATAACTCCAGGTATTACCTGGAATAAGTGAATTTGTAAGTATAAACATGAACTACACTTTAGGACTTAAAAATCAAGACAATAGTCTCTCAATTAGCTTGGAGTTTTTCGTTGGCAAGTTGAGTGGTGAGGCAAAGAGCTAGTAGAGAGAATACGTGACCCTCTAAGGTGTGACAACTGTTTAGATGCACATGACTGTGGTGGCGCATAGACAGATGGTCCCTCTTCAAAGGTTGACCATACTTCCTGAAGCACCTTCTGTTGACACGTGTTGATTTCTGAATCAACTGAATCCGTGTGAAGCGCTGGATGTGAGAGCTCCTGCGGAATGGTTGGTGGCGAAAATGACACCATGTGTGATCAATCGATACTACCAAGTATCTGCAGCAGCCTTTAGATTTTAAACCATCAGAATAGAGATACACAATATCCCCAACAGAGAATGATATATCTGGAAGAACACGCCCACTTGGACATTTAGAGTGTTAACACGCTAGGCATGTTGATCCTCACTAAGTTGGTGGTCCGATAGTGGAATTTGTCAGTTGGAGAACTGATCTTGTGAAGTCCACATTACTCTTGCAAATAGACCACATGATCGAATTCGTGTGTTGAGTCAGGAGACAGCTGCTGCGAGGGTAAGCAACGGATTCTGATGAAGTATTTCAACCTCAAGTTCTTGGATAGCCTTTTCTGCTACCTGATTTTTATTAACATTTTTACTTCTTTCCAATTCCAAAGCAATGTTATATTTAGCCAACAGTGCGTAATTGACCAAAGTCTGGAACCCAGGAGCTGGGTCAACATGTATGACAGTCTTTGGTCCCTCCAGGGCAATTAAGGGAAAGCTGAGTTCAATCAGTGCATCACACAATGTTTCATGTCTCTCATTCTTGATGAAACAAGCACTTGTAAAAGATGTTACCATCTCCCTTACAACGAAGATAAACTTTTTCTCTCGCCTCATGATGTCTGCTGCCAGAGACCATCCAACTACGCTGAGTTGACTATTAGTGGAAAAAGGGATGACAACCTTTAGAATTTTAGAGATGGCCACACAATGGAGGCATGTGTTTGTGACACTATCTAAAGGCCTGTCCATATCCAGGGCATAGAAATGACATTTGGCAACAAGCTTGAGTTGATTTCAGGAGGGATGATCCAATTGAATGTGTAGTGCTTTAAAGCAGGCCGTCAAGAAAGTTTCTTGATACAATGATACACTCTCTAGACTATGATAAGTGATCAAACAGAGTAACAACTAACAAGGCATCACCTGAGATCTTAGCCACATTAAAATATCTTTTGATATCTTTGATATCTGAGTGCTTCTTTGAAGGTCTTGTGCCTTGTGAAAGGTGAGTATGAGTGCGTCTTAAGACTGAACACTCCGACTGTAGTGTGCGCCAAGTATTGCAGATCGTGTATGGTAACTTCACAGAGCCCTGAATCACCTCCTGAATATTGATGTTGAAAACTGTGGTCTGTTCCAATTGATTTACATATGAACAAACTTTGCATTATTGTTCATTGCATGCTGTAGCATTTCGACTTGCAAAGTCTGATGCAATATTGGCTGAGCCCTTAAGATTACGCACTGAAGCTTGAAATCTACAAACGGTGGACTGGAATGTGGATACCCTTGGGCAATTTGAGAATTCTCATTGACACAGCTTACTGTAAGCCTCAAAACATGGCTTACTGTCACTCAAAATACACACCTTGTCTTGTGACTGAATAATGATAGGACTGAAGTGCCTTGTTGCCACAGCAATAGATAAGTCTTCTATTTTACACAGAATCTATGTCACTTGTCTACCGCTCAGTTTGGCACTGAAGAAACCTGCCAAAAGTAAATTGCCTTCTCGCATCACATACATACCAAGTCCATGCCGTTTTACGGATCCACCTGTGACTATCCACAGTTGATCACTTGGTCTGGGTCGTGTGATGGGCCTTCTCGACTCTTGTGCCTCTTGTGCTTTGTGAAAGGAGTGCACTCGTTCCATTGACCAAGATATTTCGTCCTGTGATGCCTGGCCCCCAGTAGCTTCATCAAGGGGTGTGAGCAGGGAAGAACAGAGGGGTATCACTCTAGCTAAAACCATAAACCCCTATGAATGATCTCAATCCTGTCACTGTCTCTGGCAGGTAACAAGAAGCCAGTGTTAATACTCTGTGAGGATTTGCCTGATGAGTCCCTTGCCTCCATATCCAACCCAAAATAGTTGAGGACACAGGGCCAGTTATTGTTTTGGAAGGTGAAAGACGAAGGTTGTTCTTGTCTAAAGCTGCCAACACATTGGTGAGTGGAGAGTGTCCAAGTCATTTCCGCCAATATAAAGATCATTAGCTAGCTTAGCTATGTAGCCATCCTGCAACTGGTTGCCCAAAACATGACAGCAGTTTCTGATCCGGGCATTCCCATAGCACATCTTGCGTATGTCCTAACTCCCTTGCATGGAGAGATGACTCCGCAGTACTTCATAAACTTCACGTCAAGAGGGATCTGGTAATAGGCTTTGGTGACAATGATGAATTTCCAATTTGTCGTAAAATGGAGTCAACATTAGGCATCAACGAAGGTTGAGGTTTACTATACTGGCCTACCTCAGGAATGGCTGTATCGAGTCAGAAACCCCGCTGTTTTTCTACACAAGAAAGGAAGGATTGAGATACTCTATGGTGATACCAGCATTCTCTGGGCGAACAAATACTGCATTCTGCTCCAGTTCATCAAACTGTTGTTGCAGTTCCACTAATTTGGATTTGGAATACTGTGGAATTCTACCTTTCCTTTGAGGCGGTTGAACAGGGCCCATATTCACGGTAGCTTCAAATGGACCAGATGCACCATTGTAACCATCAGTTGGTGGACCAAAGACATCATCATATTCATGCAACAGTGATCTCAACTTGGTACTGTACTCCTCTGGAAACACCTTGTCTGGATCTACCTTAGCTCTGATAGAGTGGGAGTTGGGAGATGTAGATACAACTTTGTTGACAATGTGGTGAGTGCTGGAGTCTGATGGTGGATCATGTACAACAGCAAATTGGTGGATTTGGGAAACATGCTCCTCACTTTTCAAGTATTGTTAAACTTGGTTTGGTATTCATACTTTTCCTGCAACAACTGCAATGATCATAGGAATAGGCCACAGCTTGTGTGAGGTAGGAAGTCTCTGCAGGGTTCAAGAGTAAATTCTTGATCTTCTTTTACTATATGTCTGGAAGGGAAACCTTAATAAATTCACCGGACAATACAGTGGAGGGAGCTTTTGGGTCCCGAAACACATATTCCTGTTGATATGTTTACATCCTGGTTCTGACCACCAGACCTTCAAAATGAAACTTGCGATCACCTCTAGTCAGGTAAAAGCAAGTTTCGCCAACGACTGTCAAAGGTCATGTACCGTCTGTTTGGCGTGCGGATTGGTTACTTTTGGCTATTTCTAATCCTAGGGTTTTAGCAATGGAATGTCGTAACATATTTCCTGTAGCACCACTGTCAAAAGTTACATTGACAACATAATGATCATGGAACTCAGTCAAGTGTGGGGACTGTCTGTCCTGGCCACGGAGATTTGAAATACACTGTGGATAACAGGATTGACCATAAAATCTATTTCAGCTTCTGCCTCATCTGGATGTTGATCATCGTTTTCATCCAGTATGGCAGCAATTTGCCGTGCTTTAGCCATATATTTGTGATCCGACTCGACAAAAAGTTTCTACCATGTTGCACAGGGACTTGACTCCGAGGTCAATCTAATCCTGCTGCTGTTGTGCGCATGACACATA